AATGCATCTTTTGAAAATGAACTGCGTGGGTGCATTCAGGTGTGTTTTTAGGCATGTTTGTTGGTGTATATGTGCGTGATGGTGGAAGAGATGAAGTGTTTTCATGTTTCCCCTGCAGTCAGTCCTCCTCCAGATGGAGATGGCTGCTTGTGATAGACAGCAGAGGTTGACAGGGAGAGGAAATACCTCCTCATCACCTCCTCCATCGCTCACTTCTTCAATTTGGAGCTGTCATTCAGCTTGGCACCACAGCACATCACATTCTCTCAGAAGGAAGCAACTGTTGGAGAAAACACATCAGAACACGCTTCTGAAACCTGTTAGTAAAAGGGACGAGATGCAGGAAGCAATGAAAAGATGGAATGTGGGCTTCTCAATAGACTGAAATCGATGCGGGTCGTCTCTTTTTATTGAATAAATCACTCAGAAAGTTGTATTCAAATATCAACAGTTGTTCCCAATAATAACTCTCCTTTAACAGAGAATGGAAATACTCGCTATAGTACAAGTACTTCATATTTGTCCTTCACTACAGTATATTATATATAACAGGGCAGCTGTGATTGAGGGGTAGAGCGGTCGTCCTCCGATCAGAAGGTCGGCAGTTTGATCCCAGTCTTCTCCATCTGTATGCTGAAGTGTCCTTGGGCAAGATGCTGAACCCTTAATTGCCCCTCATAGAACAAAAAAGTGCTGCTAATAGATGCACTGTATGAATGTGTGTGTGAATGGGTGAATGGCAACTAGAAAAGCGTTATATAAATACAGATCATTTAACATTTCCATCAATTCTAATAGTACCATCCAACACTACATAACATTGTATCTTTTTTACCTCCACCAAAGAGGTTATATTTTCAGCAGCATTTGTTTGTCAGTTAGCTGGATTATATTGGACAATAAAAACTTTCTAGATGATATGACCACACGATTGTGTTAGGGAGCAAATAGTGCTGCAAATAGCTATCAAATGCAGCATCAGAGAAAAACTCCATGTTAAAGCTCTCTTATGAGAAGTGTAAAAAAATACTTTGGTTCATTATGAAACTGTAGCTGGACAAATTAGAATATTCCACAGTCTAAATAATTAATGGGAAACGCTCCTTTGACATAGTGACATAGGACATTAATTGTGGCGGAGGTATGATGATCATTCTCAACCATTCTCAACCATTAAATAACGTTTACATTTAACAGCTGCAAGTCCAAACCTCTCCACTGAGGACCTGCAAACAGCAGCCAAATGAAAAGTAGGTTTAATAAAATGATTAATTAAAACATTTCATGACTAAAGACTTGCTGGTGTGAGTGATACATTAATGGAATAGCTGAGAGGAGTCTGGTACAGAACCACCTTCAGCTCTAACACCTATTTAACGGCTGTGTTGTCTTCCTCCAGCTAAAGGTTGAATGTGCCAATCAAACTAATGGAGGAAGAAGTTTAATATGAAAAATAAATAGCCATTATATGAATGTGACCCAATTACAGTCGACCCACAGGCCTGAATACTAAAGAGCTGTGCGAAGAGAGGTCATCTTTCATCCTGCAGCTCCTCTCATTCATCGTCCTGCAAGCAGGCATCACTTCAGATACACCTGGTACTTTCTGACAATCTGTCAGAGTGTGTATGTGTGTGTGTGTGTGTGTGTGTGTGTTAAAGGGAACTGTTTATGGTGGTTCAGCACGGCAGGGTGTGAAGAAGCTGAACTAGCAGCTTCTTTTTCTACATCATTTACTTTTGAATCTATATTTTTATATTTCGTATTGCTTTCATGGTTGTGCAGTTTTTATTGGTTTACTATTTAATGCCTGGCTGCGAACCACATCTCCATGTGGATAATAATGAAACTGAGGTTTCTCCTAAAAACCTCTGCCAAGGCTGATTGGCCACTTTATAAGGCTTTTGCATAAGGCATATCCAGAGATCCAATACATAGACCATGTAAGCAAACAGCTTACATCCACATAAAATGTCACCTGTTTATAAGCATTATCACTCTACATATGACTAATGTTTTTGATCTCTGCATTATATCTTGAGAAACTGGACTGGCCTCTCTCCCAATGTCAGCAGGGATTGGCTCCAGCACGAGGTATAGACAATGGATGGATGGATGGATGGCCACAATAGTCAAAAAACACAATGTTGCAATGTTAAAGAAAAACAAATCTTGGGGATCCGATCCCTTTCATCAAATCTGCTCCAAAAGTTAATGTATTTTTTGTTGGCCCTTTACCCACCTTTCCATCAAGTTTCAATACAATTCAGTAGCTTTCGCTTTAAGGTCCAGTGTGTAAGATTTATACTGTACCTTTAATCCTTCAAATAGACAAACAGCTATGAAAAGATCATTTCCTTGGCACAGGTAATCAAATAGAAGTGCAGGCATGTTAAGGATATATTAATAGATTGTATTGTTAGCTGTGCAGAGTTTAAAGCCCCTTGAAGCAAAGGTTGCGATTTGTAACACTAGGCCAAATAACTTCATGTAGTCATTTATGGACAAAAATGTTGTTCTAGGTTAGTCATCCCAGTGTTATCCCTAAATCAAAGAAAAAATCAAAGGCTTTGTACCTCTGGCCTTAAAACATTTTCAACTGCAAGGGCTCTGAGTATGTAGACCTCTGCCAAGGCTGACGTCCTATCTCGTCACATTGTAATTTGACCTGCCACAGTTTCATAATGAACCAAAATATTATTTTACATAATAACATAAGAGATCTCTAACTTGCTTTGTGCAAGCTCGAAGCTATCATGTCCTTCGGACCTCATAGTTTCAGCTGCAGTTTTGCATTTATCTGCAAGTGGCATGCATTGCAATTCTCTTTCATGTGAGAAGTTCTCTTTCACTGTCATTCAGAATCTGTTGTGCGTGACAGTGAGGTTCATGTGTGTGCATGTGCATCCCCTCCTCCATCCACCAACGCTCAATCTGTCCTGTAGTTTTTTGTAATCCTGCTAACTAATAGATGTTTGGGTTTTCCCCATCTCTTTATTCAAGAGCGTGATCTTTTACTTTGAGAGGGCTTATTGATTTCACACTCAGATTTTGTAATGCTCTCACACAATACACTTTACTTGCACACAACCGTACTAGAGCCCTGCGTGGGACTGTTTTCTTCATCCCGCTGAATTTCTGACCATTACCACCCGCAACCGCAATGTGTGTGTCCACTCCCGCCCTCACCCGCAAAACTCTGAGAATGAATGCCCGCACAATAATAGAGATGCATTGATTTTGCGTCTTCTCCCGTCCCGCAGGAGAAAACACGTCATTTTATGGGCTATTAATAAAGAGATTCATGAGGTAGTTTGTTTCCTTTCCCCGGCCTGCATGTCTTTTGACGCACTGGTCAGGAATAGCACTCTTTGAAAAGCAGCTTACTTTGACCGGGGAGAACAGAGCAGGTGTGTCGCCTCAACCCAGAGGTGCTGGATTTGTGTACGTTGTAGACTAGTATTTTCCCGATCCAGCAGTGTTTTTTTTTAGCCGCCCGTTCCCGCCCGCAGCAAAGTTCAAACCACCTGCTCCAGCGAGATTTGAGTTGGGTCCCACGGGACCCGGCGGGACCCAATCCCAATGCAGCCCTCTAAACCATACTCTTGTGCTTGCATCTGCTGATACTGTGATAAAGAATTAAATTGCCCGTCCTTGGCCCACTATGGTCTTTTGTCGTGTTCTTTTTTAGGATTTCTAAATCTGTGGGGCTTTTCAATCACACAGTAAATATATTCATTAGTCAATAATGGGGCTTTGGGGGAGCCTGGGCAGTTGCTTACTTTGTCATCCAGCAACGAATATAGAGCTCAATTCTAGTTGTCAATTTGTCAATGCATGTCACACTGGATGACATTTTCTTTAATCATCATGAACAAACACATACACTATATAGTTTATTTTAAGTCTCACTGACAATTTCTCAGAAGAGGAAAAAATACTAAACCACTAAAATAGTCCACAAAAAAGACTTTATTTTCTCCTTTTGTTTAAAAAATACAGTTACCAACAACTTGAGCCTTTTTGAAATAGTAAAAAAGTACCTGCAGGCTTATCTGTAAAAAAGAAATAAATTAGTGTTGACACTGGGTATTAATCACTCATGCCTAAGAGAAAAGAAGTGGCGCACCTTGTGGTGGATTTATTTTATGTCTTTGAGTAAAGAAAATGTCCATTGTAAAAGGGGAATCACTCCAACTGATTTATTTTAAAATGTTTTATTGTTTTGTATAAATAACTTCACTGACTCCCCCACAAACCAAACTGCTCTTCACTTTGTTACAAACATAAAGATTAAATCTGTTCATGACATAAACTTACCCCCACTTCATTCCAGTAATAAAACAGTCAAGATACAAACGGCAGAGCCTCAGGCAGAGGCACATTAAAAAAGTTTGTCTGCACTGTGTGTGTGTGTTTGTGTGTGTGTGTCCTGGCCTAAATAATTGTGATTCACAATATTATTAATTTAATGGTGACAGTTTGAGTTAAGTTCTTGGCTCTAAGACACTTAACCTTATATTTTGCTAAGAAACAAATGTTTTTAATGAATCACAGATAGGTTACATATTTCTAGTGAACATTTTAAAGTGAAAAACAAGAAGCTTAAATAAGATAGTTATAAATAAGTAAGTCCCCTGTTAAATTAAAGATAAAGGGAAAAGCAAAGGGAAATAAATAAAAATAGCAACATTGTGAGTCTGTTCTTTCTCACATGTTATTTTCTGTATTTTTTCAACCAGGTTTAGAATCAAAGTGAACGGTTTGGTACAGTGTGGTCATCAAACACCACAGCATCATAGAGTGAGATGTGCCAAACCTTGGCTCTTTTCAAACAGTTAGAGTGCACAAATGTTGGCATGTTAATGTTATCCCGATGATAGACAAATACCATGGTAAACTTACTGTGAGAGTTTTTTAGGGATGCGCAGTAAAATTATATATTGTCCCATCCTTAGTGTGTGTCTGTGTGTTAAAAATTGCATGTGTGTTTTTTGCAGGGTATTCGACTACCAGCGTGTCCCATCTTCAGTCCCAGTGGATCCCAACCCCATCAAGAGGCCCCGACCTTCATCCTCCTCTTCCTCTTCCTCCTCCACAGCGGCTCTGAGGAAGAAGAGCAGCAGAGCATCTGGCAGGACCAACAACACACTCAGCCCCGCCTCCAGCAGCAGCAAAGCCAAATGTAAGAGATGCTTTATTCACATGCTCCACGTCACTGCAGCGTTCAGACCCTGACCAACACCAACAGCTCACATCTCTGACATCAGGAAACATTTGGCGTGACACACATTTGTGGTGGGAAGGAAGATACATTTTATAAATTCTACGATTTTAATCTTACAGTTTTAATTCTTAGTTATGTTGCAGTTTCATACGATAAAGTATTCCCAACTAATAAATGATGAAGTAATAGAGAGTAAAGATTAAGCAGCAGAGTAATATATAATGTAGCATAAGTGATGCTTACACATCAATGCCAGGGTGGGGAGACACTTTCCTATCATGGTCCATTTCAGTTTTAAATAACATCCTCCGAGGACCATCATAAATTATTGAACACATATATCACACTAAGCTCTCTGATGCGATGGCTGGAATTGTTTTTTTCTTTCTGCGAGTTGTCTGATGTCAGATGGCAGTGATGATGATGATGATGAGGAGGGTGAGGATAATGTCTAAAACAATTCCTCCAACTAGAGAGAAAAACTGGAAATGTCTTGCTGTGTCTTTCAGTGGTATACCATTAATCTGATCTGCTACAGTTCTTTGACACCAACGGACACTTTGGAACCATTTCAATTTGTCTGGTTCAAGCAGGTCCACAGCAGCAACAATGCTCCTTCATAAGTGCTACATCTGACTGAGGTTCCAATGAGGATCCAATCACTAAGATCACACCATATGAAAAAAAAAAACTGGTGTTATAACTCTGATTTGTATAGAGAACGAAAATAATTATTTTAACTGCAGCTGCATTCTGGTGGCAGAAACAGGTCTGGGATTGAATGTTAAAAGACTTAATTGAAGAGAGCTGAGACACTAAGTAGAGGTTGATACACAGGTGCTACATTTAACCCTGTCCAGTGGCTTTTAAACTTTATACCCGTATAAGAGACTGAGACCCTGTGTTCACATTTGTAAAAATTTGCCACTCTAATATTTTATTGTACTTTTTTAAAATCTAAAATCTGAAAGTGGCATGTGCCTGTATGGAAACCTGAAGCCCTTCAGGATGTTTCCTTTTTAAAACTCTGTTCATGTTATCCCCTGCCTGTATGGTGGCTCGTCTCACTGGTAGGGCCCCAGGGTACTGGAGAGAAGGCGGTTGGGGTGGGGCACCAGATGGTTTCTTCATTAAACGCCTCTCTACCGCCAGTCTCTCCACCTTGCTATAACCCAGCTGAGCCTATCAGCGCTCGCAATTAGACAGAGTTAATAGTGCATAGCAAATAAGAATTGTTTATACTAGTTTATTACAAGCCTTAATAGTTTTTACTGCACCCCATCACAAGGAAATTAGATTGCCTTTGCAAGCTTCAGAGGTCGAAAAGCTTACAGTGGTGATGCAGTTTTCAGGGTCGTTTGGCGAGCTGCACTGGCGGTCCATTAGCCAGCACAGCGAGAGTGAAGGCTCCTGCGGTTGAAGGAGGTACGTGTGCAATGCTGAAAGTCGTTGATGGTGCAGGACTACAGGCTTGATGAGTGCAGAGGTGGCTGGATGACATTTGCATGTTGTTTTGGGGTATAATGGTCCCAACTAGGCCAGACGTGTGGACACAACTGTATGTGGTTGTTGAGGCCTTCCACCAGATGTTGAACCTGCTGCATGTATTTTCTCTCATTTAGCCTTTTTAGAGCATTACTGAGGTGCAATGCTACTGGGGGGTGATAAGGTCTGCTGTTGTATTGGACAGTTTGATGGCCAATCAGCATCATCCACACTAAACATTTCCTTCATGATGACACAGAAAGGGGACAAACTGCTGCTGTCTAAGGGCTCAAAGCTTACACTGTTTCCAGTTGTCTATATTAATTCACCAAATATCTTCCCCTCTCTTTCTATCTCCCTGCAGTGAAGATGACAGAGCTCCTGGCCATAAAGAGGGAGTTGACAGTGATCAAGGTTCAGATCGATGGCCTGTTGGACCGTGTAGACAAGATGGACAGACAGAGGATGGACTGCTCAGGTACAGAAAGTGATGAATACTAACTGTTTATCAAATCTGTTGACTCGCTGTTGCACTGGATTTTGTTTTGTTTTGTTAGTGTCACTGTTCTTAGGGTACATTATCAACAAAGAGTGTGTTTCGGATGTCTGTATAAACTTGAATGGGCAGTTGTGGCTCAGGGGTTAGAGCGGGTCGTCCTCTAACCAGAAAGTTAGTGGTTTGACCCCATTCTGTATGCCGAAGTGTCCTTTGGCAAGATTCTGAACGCCAAATTGCCCCTGATGGCTGTGCTGTTCTCATAGAAAAAGTGCTGCACATAGAAGCACTGTATGTGTGTGTGAATGGGTGAATGGCAAAACTGTACTGTAAAGCACTTTGAGTGGTCATCGAGACTAGAAAAGCTTTATAAATACAGACCATTTACCATTTGTAGTTAACTGCCTTTATTATGGAGTGGATGTGGCTCAGGGGTTAGAGTGGTCATCCTCAGCATGAAGGCAGTCAGATACCAGTCTTCCCCATTCAGAATGCCAAAGTATCCTAGGGCAGGATACTGAACCCCAAACTGTATGTTTGTGTGAATGAGTGAAATGAAAACTGTGCTGTCAAGTGGTCATCAAGACTAGAAAAGCTAAATATAAATACAAATATTATTGTCAGTAATGGTACAGTATCTGAGTAGACATATTGTATATCAAGCAGTCTTCTTGTAATCATAATACACGATCAGCTGCCACCATCACGATCGGATGCCACTATAATCCACAATCCATCATCATGATCCAATGCCGCCATCAGGATCCACCATCAGCTGCCACCTCGATCATGGTCCACCACCACCATCCACTGCCAACACAATACAGGATCCGCTATTACAATCACGATCTCTGATTCACGATCCATCATTATAATCTTCGAGGTGGCAGCTGCCGCGGGCCTGGATCTGCAAACGATAAGGCACATGGACTCCGGGGAAAGTCAGCAGTAACATGTATTGATGAGACATTAATTTATTTGATGTGATAAGGAGGGAGAAGAGGAAAGAGAAGCTTCATGTGTCATGTGTCCCCCGACATTCTTTCTTCTGTTTTTTAAAATAAGCTGCTCCAAGTAAATTCTTTTCAACAGAACCTTCTCCTACCCACCTTTAATGATGAAGCCAGCTAATCCAATGTCTCTGTGTTACTGAGAAAATGAATCATGAGAGTTTCCATTTAATTCTTAGTTCCAGGGTGACATTATTACTGCAAAACAGGTATTGCCCCAATCGTTAAGTTAGTTCACCAAAACTATGAGCATGTTCATGTATTTTCACACTGAAGTCAAATGTGAAAACAGCTTGATATTGTTTGTCACAGTATATAATATTTGTGCAATCTAGCTTTAAACTGCAATAAAAGAACAATGCATTAATCTTCATGATCTCTGTATTACCATCAACTGGTTAGGATTATTACTTTTTAACTTTTAACTTTGGTTTTACTCTCTTTTTTGGCAATATTTAAGGTTCAGTGGGTAGAATGTAGTGAAATCTAGTGAAGTTTCATGGTAGATATCATCTCCCCCTCCCCTTCCCAACATGAAGGAGAACCTGTGGTGATCTTCAGTTGTCATGAAAACTCAAAAGGTTTTAGTTTGTCCAGTTTGGACGACAGTAAAAAACATGGCGGCCTCCACAGAGAGGACCTCCCCTCCATGTAAATATAAAGTTTTTAAATATAAAGGTCCATTCTATGGTAAAGAAAACAACAATTCATACAATTAAGATGAAACACACCAGTGAAAACATCACTAGGATTATTTTATATTCAATTTCTGCCAAAAATTCCTTTCACCTAAATCTTACACACTGGACCTTTAATGCATCAGTCTGATTCAGGTGTAATCCAGCCAGAGAACAACTGAACTTTAAATTAAAATGCATTATTGAATATGATTTGCAGGGGTGTCAGTGTGTGTACCATCAGATGTGATCTGCTATCTGTGACTAATGGTTCAATGACAAAATTGCCGCCAGTGGAGCGTGGATTATGACAGTGAAGTAAACACCGATAAACAACGGCCTCATAACCTTTCATAAGCTTCCCTTCAGTGCTCAGGAGTTATCTTGTTGTCAGTCAACTGTGTGTGTGTGTGTGTGTGTGTACTTCACTCTGGAATAAAGATAAGGGAATTATTCAAAATGGCATTAATGATTTTTAGTCATTTAGATAAATTATTTTACACCAAAAGACTAAAATTATAAAGCTGCTTGAAAGTTCTGGTAGATTCAGACTCAGCAGTGTCACAAGTTCCATCTTGAACCCAGTAGATATTACATTACATGCCATTTAGGAGGGGACATTTTTAGTGTGGGTTCAGCATTGTCCAAGGATGCTTCGGCATGGGCTGGAATTCACTGGTGACCTTCTGATTGGAGGACAACTGCTCTAACCCCTCATCCACAGCCGCCCCCAGATATTGGTTAATTAATTTTGAGACCAAAAGAAGGGTAGATGAGGATGGCTGCTTTCTTTCTCATTCAAAGAATGCAGGATTTGGACCTCACAATGGTGGTAATACTGCTGTTTGTCTCTGTGTTTGTCAGAGTGTCCTCAGAGCAGGGAGCCCAGTGTGTCCGGCTCTCCTCACCGAGGTTCAGTCAGCAGTCTAGAGAGGGAAAGTCCTGAACCAGGAGAGGCCAGTGAGGATGAGCAGCTGCACTACCAGCACTACTACCCCCACAGGGTAAATATGTCCTACTACTACCTCCTCAGGGTAACTATGTACTACTACCAACCCCACAGGGTAAATATGTCCTTCTACTACCTCCACAGGGTAAATATGTACTACTACTACCTCCACAGGGTAAATATGTCCTTCTACTACCTCCACAGGGTAAATATGTACTACTACTACCTCCACAGGGTACAAACATAATACTACTACCTCCACATGGTAAATATGTCACTACTACCCCCACAGGATAAGTATATACCACTACTACCTCAATGCATTGTAGCAATGCAAATTTCGTTGAATCACGTTCGATGAAAATAAAGGCAATCTGAATCTGAATCCACAGGGTAAATATGTCCCTACTACCTCCACGGGGTAAATATATACCACTTCTACCCCCACAGGGTAAATATGTCACTACTACCTCCACAGGGTAAATGTATATACCACTGATACCCCAGCTGGGTAAATATATACCATATATTTAAGTCAAATACTACCCAGACTTCTACAACTACTAGTGCATACCATATTTTTCCACACAGATTTTCGAATAAGTACCTTCAACTACAACCCCACAGGGTACATTATTGCCTCAACTACTGCCTTGTGGCAGTAAACATTACTGTAGAAGCTAATGTCTGCCCTCTAGTGGAGAGTCAATTACTTACACCAGCATCTTTTAGCTCAACAAAATGATGAAACTGTTGTGTTCGAGATATACAGTCTATGTGTTCGAGTGATGTTTTTAAAGCTGGGCACAACTGTCTGGAAATAGTTATCTTTGTTGTTAATGAATCTGTAGATCATTTTCTCAATGAATTAATTTATCAAACTACAAAATGTCAAAGAAAAGTAAAATGCCTGTAACCGTTTTTTAAAGTGCATCTGTATTTACTGACCAACAGTCAATGATGTTCTAGCAGCATACATACCTGTGTAGAAGCCTGATAGAATAGCAGTTCAAGTCAAATCCTTTAGCCTGAGGTAGAGCTTCAGAAAAGATACTGCGATGGACTGTTTAATGTGTAGTTCAGATATAGTACAAAGAACAAGTGAAGATTACTGTTGTAAATGACAAAGCACAATTTGAGGGGATCCTATTTATCTGTCTGATTCCATCCCTTCTTCTGTCTTAAAAACAGTAATAACATGTTTCACACATCTCCACACTACACCGACTGTCCCAAAGACAATTTGTATAATCTGTAGAGGACGACGTGTTTACTGTTGCCTTGAGGGTCTTTTTATTCAGCACCTCACTGGTATAATCAGCCTCCTGGAGCAACGGTGTGTCCACTGTTTCTGTTCCTTTACAACAAAGCTTAATGATACAGAATTATTCTGCAGGCTTCCTACCTGCCTGTCAGAGCGAAGCTGCCTCATTATTCTGAGCAGAGGCAGAAAACAGCCCTTTATCAGCTGCAGTGTTCCTCTCACAGGAGTGTGTGTGAATAAAGAGTGCGTTTGCAATTACCGCTCTGTGTGTGTGTGTGTGT